ATGGGCAACCAAAACCAGCGCACGGATGTGTGGTTAAAGGTTGTACAAACTGAACATCTCCAAGGTGACTTCAAACAAACTCATTCCATGTGGATCTCAACCACCGAGACGCTATGGACTGCCGAAAATTCACAAGCCAAATGCGCCTCTTAAACCAGTGACTGACAAGAATAATTCATCCACGCCATAGCACAGTGGATTGTAAAAATTTTAGAGCCCGTGCACAAATCACTAGCAAGATATAGCGTAAAAGATTCTTTCACATTCGTTGATCATATCAGGAATCAAGACGTATCATATAAGATCATGCTCTCCTTTGACGTCAGATCTTCGTTCACAAATGTACCACTGCTGGAGACGAAAGACTATTTTTGTCAACACATTACTGAAAACAATATTCAGATCGAAATACCCGTGACAAATTTAAGAACTCATACTGAGATGTACTTGGAATGTACAGCTTACGTACAATCAAAATTGCTATCGACAAAAGGATGCCGTAACAATGGGATCACCGCTTGGCCCGCTCCTGGCAGATATATAATTTTAGCCAAGCTCGAAGGACCATTGAGGAATACAATTGACAGTATAGATCTATACACCAGATATGGATGATACGTTTATCACCTGTGAATCCGGAACGGACATCAGTAAGTTACTTCAAACATTTAAAAACGCTCATCCGGGTATACAATTTACACTTGATAGAAAAAGACAACTTTTTTGCCTTTATAAACATCGGTCTTCGTCGTACAGATGATCGCTATATCGAGAGAACAGTATACCGTAAACGCATGTGGGTCGGCCAATACATTTTCAAAGTTTCGTCCCACTGAGATACAAACGTAACTTAGTGAACTGTCTAGCATACAGGGCAAGGAGAATTTGTAGTCTGGGGACCCTGAATGAAGAGCTGACCTGCATAGGAGACATTCTCAAGAAGGATGGATATCCAGAGGCGTTTGTTAGATGATATATGGAATCAAAATCAAACCAAAAAAAACTGACTAGAAAGAAGGATCTTATTACTCTTAGTACAAAGCGATGCTACGTGCGTCAACAATTTGCTTGAGCTTCCCCCTGGCTACGACGTTCTTCCAGTTACCACCCTCCGATCGGTTGGTCGCTTGGCGACTGGCCATGCTAATGATAATGTCTGGACGAAACGCTTCTGATTGCATAGTGGGGGGTGATTTTTAATGTTCACCAAACAGATAGCCACCCAACGGACACAGAAAAGACGATCTAAATTGTTGAAAGGTAATTCCCAATCTAAACCAACCGGACAATTCCCAAGTGAACTCGAGAAGTATGTTCACAATTTTACGGACATCCAACTTGACCGGACCACACTTGAAGCACTCTCCTTGGGCCCAAAGTTCTGTTGCCCGCGGCGCCGTATAGACAAACGTGCAATTTGAGAACCTACACAACCAGATCCGTGATTTGACACCTTTATCGGAAGATACACTCGATATTTTGGGAAGCACTTTGGCGCAACGCTATCATAAATGCAAAACAAAGCATCAAAACGTACTGTCGTCTGAACATATTCGCAAGCTAATGGAGCTAAAACAAAATCCGGATCTCGTATTAAACAGACCAGATAAGGGAGCCGGAATTGTGCTCATGAAAAGGACAGACTACATAGACAAGATGAGTACGATTCTCTCAGACAGCTGCAAATTCCAAAGGGGATTAAAAGGGAGGGACCGAACAGAACAAATCGAACAACTGACGAAATGCCTGAAGTCCATGAGAAAAGAAAACCATATAAGCTCCACTACATTCGAACAACTAAAACCCAAAGGGTCAAATATTCCGAGGCTTTACGGACTCCCCAAGGTGCACATGCCCAATCTACCATTGAGGCCAATATTGGATATGACAAACTCACCATATCACGCCATAGTGAAATGGGTGGCTCAAATGCTCGATCCAATCAGGAAGATAATATTGACACAGTTTGAGAGACACTTTCCATTTTGTTGATCAAGTCAAGGATCTAAACATCTCTTCCCAATCTATGTGCTCCTTAGACGTCACATCGTTGTTCACAAATGTCCCACTAGTCGAAACTATCGGATATTTGTGCACTTTTATGACAGATCGCTATTGGGACATTGGAATACCACTGAATTTTCTGAAGGAACTTTTACTCCGGTGAACTTTTGATGTACAACAATCATGTGTACAGACAAACAGATGGAGTCGCTATGGGTTCAGCTTCGGGTCCACTTCTGGCTGATGTTTTCATTAGAGAACACCAGCCTCCAACCGATCATAGAGGATTTGAAAATGTACTGCAGATACATGGATGATATATTCCTCGTTACTAATGAAAATGGAATTGGAGTCCTGGACGGAATACTGACATCTTTTAACGATGCTCATCGATCCATAAGCTTTACTATCGAAAAAGAAACGATGACATCCCGTTTCTAGATGTTTTTATCCATAATAACCCAAATGGATCTATCCGAAGGAACGTCCACAGGAAAACAACTTGGACAGGACAATACATTCATTTCAGTAGTTTCGCACCAATTAAACAAAAGCGAAACCTGGTTCATTGTCTAGCGAGACGAGCACAGAGAATCTGCACTCCGGATACCCTAATCAACGAGATGAAGCAAATAAGAAATACATTACGAGAGAATGACTATCCGGATCGTTTCCTTGACAAACACCTAACAGAAACAACGGAGAAAACAGAAGTGAGCACAGTAAGCAGAAAACTCCTGTACCTGCAATTACCGTACAAGGGCGACTAGGCGGCGGATTGGGTCACACGAACAGGAGAACATTCACTACGCATCAGTATCTCTACATCACCAATAATTCGTTTCCATATCAAAAACACATCGTCCCCTCAGGCCGTATCCATGTGCATTTATTTGTTTATTTGCTCCTGTGCAGCGAGCTACATAGGCCGGACAACAAGACAATTGCCAAAGAGGACAACGGAACACCACCCTCGATGGTTAGCATACGGAGAAACGATGATAGTGAGAAGCGCGATATGCCAACACCTACTAGAAAGTAATCACCAAGTGAACGTAAGTCGAGCGTTCAGAACCGTTTATCGTATTCCACCGTTATCATCTAAATCTGTACGCTTCATCCTTCTATGCACAGCTGAAGCTATTGCGATCAAACTATTTGACCCCCCACTATGCAATCAGAAGCGTTTCGTCCAGACATTATCACTAGTATGGCCAGTCGCCAAGCGACCGACCGATGCGAGCGTGGCAACTGGAAGCTCAAGCAAATTGTTGACGCACGTAGCATGACTTTGTACAAAGGGTAATAAGATCCACTGCACAAAAGACCAAACAATATTAAATGCTCTACCTATATAAATGTCAATGGCCAGCTGATGAATTTATTGAGAAACAGCTTGTTTCGCCTATCGGATTTTCTTTTCAATGCCAAAATGAATGTTTTCCACATGTAGAAAGGTATTTGTCAACGTTCCTTTCAAGGGAGACGGAATTAGAAATCTTGGAATATTGGCTATTTAGAGCCGTTGCCAACTGTTTTCCCGCGGCGCATTTAACTCTCATGTTCAACGTTCAACAGCTTAAAGATCAATTGCCTCATCAGTCCCAATCTTTTGTTCTATATCAGTTCATGTGCACTTGCAGTGCTAGGTACATCGGACACACGAGGCGTCTGTCAAAGAGAATATCTGAACATTATCCAGCCCCTCTTCGAAAAGGATCAGTGAGAAACTTGAACAGTTCAATCCTGCAACATTTGGTCGACAGTGGACACAGGATTGACACACAAACACCATTTACGAGTTTCTTCAATGCACCTATGAACCACACCAAAGGATTACGTAAGATCCTAACAACTGCGGAATCTATATCAATTAGGAGCATAACGCCGGAGTTGTACAACCAACGTAGTCTGTTACCATGGTCATAAGATCAGTGGTAATTTACAATCCAAGAAGTCTACCCCCGACCATAGATTTACGTATACATATCGCACGCTCTAGACGGTATATCTTAGTAATCAATATTTCTCAAAAAGGCAAGAATATGACGTAGCAACTTTTTTGCGAACAGAGACAAACGATTGAGACGAGAAGCCTCTGCGCAAAAAAAGTATACATCAACTTCCAAGATGATCGGTTTTCAATGGTACATTCGAAATGTGAAAACATAAGTCAGTATGAATCATGTAAAAAAAGAGGCAAACACCTGTACGAGCACATCTGAATTACAACCATAGAGTAGAACAGCCCATGTGAAATGTCGCAGTGGCTCACTCACTGGGTGTAGACGGTTCTTGAAAAAACATGAATACAAATAACGGGGGAGGGGCAATGCTCAAGGAAGAATGAACAAGGGAATTGAAAAAGAAAAACAGACCCCAAAACAGGGAGCTCAATGCAAGTGCGGACGGCGAGGGGAACACGACAGTCTGGATACTGTTGAGTTCCACCGGCGAACAAACGCAAAGCATATCAACGAAATATGCATCCATGGGATCAGAGAAACTAATTGAAGGCGAGATGACTGTCAATTGCGCGGTTAGAGCTCCAGTTTTATGTCATCCAGATCAAGTTCCTCTTCCTCGATTGGCTGTGTTTCAAACACCAAGATAAATGGGGGCGGGAGAAAACGATAATTGTCGGTTACCTATGTGCAATCGCAATGAGGAATATTAGGTGATGCCTACGCATAACGAGACTGGATAGTAATGAAAAAGATGACAGGTTTCAGGGCCAACAATAGGCCATTGAAAACATCACCCAGTCTCGACAAATAACTAGGGAACAGTTCATCACAAGAGAATTTTTATTTGTCATCGCCACAACAATGTCCGTTCCGAGTTTGAGTTAGAACAACCACTAACCATGCACTTTCGTGTTGCGGTTTTGGTTGCTGTCTTTTGGATACCTCTTTGGGTGAAGTGGTGAAAATACCAATGGATTGTTGGAGGTAGTGCAAGGGTAAAAACAGATAATTACTGTTAACTAAGGTTGCAAAGACAATAAACAGATGCTCCAATGCCACCGCTGACGATACTCCAGCATATCCCTCAGTGTTTCTAACCATCGATTACAATGATCCCGAGGTTTCCATTCAGGTTACCCCACACCACCAATATGACCCAGTCTCCTGGTCAGGGTTATACCTTCATGCCATGTCCTAGTTTGACCACCCTTGACTTTTTTCCACCCATCATCTGCCTTGGCAAACAGCACGCGCCACGGCAATCTACTTGTTGGCATGCGCAATACATGCCCCCAACCAACGTAGTCTACGGAAGTCCACCACTTGCTCCAGTGGGCGATTTTGTCCACCTCAATACTCTTCGAATGAAACCAGCTGCGCTTGTCCGATTGCTCCATCTGACTCGAGCAATGCGACGTAGACAGTGGTGTTTGAACATAGACAGTGTATCCTTATCCTGTTTTTGCAGTGGCCAAGTCTTGGCGTCGTACAGTAGTATTGGTCAAATGATATAACACAATCACCCCGTCACAGCCGGATTTCGCAAGAGCGCCACATATGTCTCAAGTTGGTAAACGCTAGTCAAGTAAGCCGACACTACATCCGTGATGCTTCCAAAAAATGACTAAATTTGTCTTCGTGCTCTATTACTTCTTCAGTTGCTATGAGGTTCGGAGCTTGAGTAACCTAGTCTTGTACCAACATTTTACCACTCGAAGGTACAAAACGCATACCGAAAACTAGCACATAAACTATCCAAAAAAAACTTATGACTCATTTGTATCTTCACTTAAAAGTACAATATCGTCTGAATACTCCATATCAGTTACCACCTAGGATCAAATTGATGACACTGTCTACGCACGACGCTAGGTCTGTTCCCAAGAGCAAATCCGTAACGAAGTTGTACAGAAAAGGAGAGAAAGAGAGAGAAGGAAACCCCGAAGAACTACATCTTTGGTGGTGAACTTGCATCGGATATTAGTATAGAGATAGTAATATTGAAATAAAATTCTCGAGATCTATACAACCCCGACAAGACCAGCTCGATTCCAGCGTGGTTCTCCAAGAGGATCTGTCACCTTTCTTGCAAATCGGTAAGATGACCCACTCACACCATTCAGTTGGAACCTGCTCACTCTCCTATATTGAACCCAGGAGTTTCGTCAACTCCAAGATCATGACTAAACCTTCATTCTTAAATGTCGGTGAAGACAGTTCATTCGAGCCGGAGACCTCATACATAATGAGATCACTTATTTCCCGGGAAACCTCCACTGACGATACAGGACTGATATCAACTGACAGTACTTGTTCAGTAGACGTAGGGGTGGACCGGTCAAATGTCTACGGGCGCCGATTGAACTGGGCCTCGAGAGTTTCAACCAATATGCTTGAGGATGGGTTGGGTCAGTAAAACGCAGGATGATGTTTAAAGTGGGGTCTTGTATGCATGTTTCGGAGAGATAACGCACGTCTAAATGGAGAGTTACAAGAGTTCGCACTGAGACAGCTTGTCGGTCGATGTGATAGAGTGTGCGACCAGTGTAACGAGGCTAAGCGAAGAGGGAATTTGGGCTTCATCAACCCTATAGCTTCTGATTGGTTATCTCATGGGTTTCAGAAATAGGAGGCATCTCGAATGATCGGGAGTGAGGGGAAGAGCTCGACAGATGGGAAAATAGTTTGCCCAAATGGACCTACACCGAAGAAGGGATTTTTCTTTAGGAACACTGACCAATTAAGTGGACTTGAAGTTTGAGTTTTTCAGTTCGTACAATCAATCATTCAACGGTTTTTGTTGCTATCTTTTGGGATGGAGTAGTTTGATTCAGTTTAGCAAACCATTAAGATACCGCTGAATTATTCCAACAGGTCGTTACGAGGCATGATTCAGTGAGAGGGGGAAAGCAGGTAGAGAAGGGGGAAAACCGTCTAACAATTTAGCACTCGAATGAAAAACCTTCATATTTGCGAGTTGGAACTCATTACTCACTTTAGCATCTTTACCGTCCCACGGTTCGACAGGCTCAATTACAGGCATCTCACTGACTGGGAACAGTTGCAATTTCATGCCACCCAACGAGATCGACAAAAGGAAGTCATGAACACCTTCCTGATTGAATGGACCACGCATTGTCACTCGCTGTTTCTTGCGTCCATGCATGGCAACCAAGGCCTATGGGAACAAGACAGATAAGACTGACCGTGAGGAAACACGATGACCTAGCACAACAGAAACTGAACAAATGTGATGTAGGGAGTCTCAGGTAACAGCAACCCACAAATAAGAGGCGGTAAGTGGTTTGACACTATATATATGTATATACATAGAGCATTTTCTTCACAGCCACCTGATATATTTGTTGAACCGAAACATGCAATCACTCGGAAATTTTATCACAAACCTGAATGATGCACAATTGACAGTGTAACCCTAATCATCACAAATGTAATTTTCTTAAGGTGCCATCAGTGCACTTCCTACTTCAGACTGAACTATCACGTAGCCAAACGGCTCCGAATTGTTGCGGGGATACTGCTTCGTACTGGTTCAAGTACCACGGAACGGCTTGGATAATATCGAGCAGGTGATAGTCAAGTAAAAGTAACCAAAATGCAAAAATGTCTAATCACCTACCGGATAGCCAAAACCGCCAACCTCAAGCGCCTCCTCCATTCTGGGTTGTTTTGTCCCTTCCGCCCAAATCCAACTACAAGTAAAGATGCAATAAAATGAGCAGATAAAAGTTCAAATTCTGGAAAATAAGGTTTTCAAGTTGTTCTACAGATTCCGTTTGATAAAACACTCGCCACATCATGGAATAGTAACTGTCTGGTTAAACACAATCACACATTTTATTGATTGTACTTCAATTGACCAGTGTGGCGGTTGAGTCAAGATGGATGACAGTTTCATTTGGAGGCCTTAGAAACCTAGCAAAGCAAACTTCACTCCTAGTTCAAATTCCTTTTCTGTGAAAGACGAGTAAATATCGCTCAGAACTAACATAAAGGTGCATTCAAGTCATTTATCAACAGTATTGTTTATATTGTAGATCACTTAATCAAGTGGTTCCCTCCTCCACATCCTGGAGCACTACTGCCGATCGTAAACGACCGTTTACTCAGTGAACCTACACCCATCTTATTCAAGGTTAGCCGTGAGTTAACGGCCGCTCCCCTGTCTATGAACTGGGGACACGTTGGGTAGCATACAGCTATGGTCTTGTCGAGTTCTTGTCAATTTTCTTAGTCTCAAATGCGTTCTGAGGACTGAAACTTCATTGACATTGTTTCCATTTTTACCCCAAAAAAGCATATTTTCTTTGCCTGGGCCTTAACACTGCATAACACTAGTTCTGAAAACAGGAAATGTAATCAAACGCATATACGTAGTTGTGTACTTGAAGTTGTAGATGGTGGTCGCCAGGGATAAACCCTAAAATAATTTGGTCATCGCTGCAAATGACATCACTCTTTGTTCGCCTGACTTACGCCTAGTTCCCCTGGGCCCGTGCGTATGATCGAAAGGATAAAACAATATTGTTGCATTTGCTAGTTACACGAACGTATTTAACTCTTGTTCGATTCGGACGAAGGTGGTCAAATTCATGGCACGGGTAGATTATATTCAAGAAATGAAAATATTGGTGCACTGGTCCGAGGTTCACTTACCCCCACTTTTGCTGCTTGAACTTCAACGATTCGGATCGAATCAAATCCAAATAATCATTACGGCATTTTGAGTCACAATCCAACAATAACGGCACAACGGCAATCACGCAAAGTGGGTGATTTTCACACGCGTCTTGGAAAACCTCCTGGGACACTATTTCGTACAGCTCCGGAGGCGGTTGTGCTTCAGAAGCTTTTTCTTCTGCCCATTGGACGATGTCGTCGGTTGAACGGCCACCGGTGTAATCAACTGCATCATTCGCACTTGAATTGGGTGGAAAATATTTGATTGTAGGAAAGCCTTGAATCTACGGAGAGGAAATGGAGTACATCACATATTCCTGTCAAGTCGATTCATTTGAATAACAGAAGATAAAATGATTGGTAATCAGTTACAACCCGTAACATTCCTAGTGAATCCAAAAACAGTACATACGGAAACATGTTTTTGATTATTTCATACCTGAACCGTTATTATCACATTTATGAGAGTTTATTGTGTTGATCATCGTTATCATCATCATCAATGAACCGCGGGATACAGAGAGGCGAACTTTGCTGATTGTTGTCAAGCTCTTAATTTACACCAAATTGAGAATGTAGATAGATAGGGTTTGGGCCTCATTGGAGGGAAGCACAGAAAGTGAACCTCTATCATCAACGCACGAAGTGCATACATAGCTTTTCAGGCACTTTGACCTGATAAGAAATGATAACAAGAACACCACTGCTATCTGTTATACCCTTCAGTGTCCCCGACCAGCCAGTTACACAGTCCTTTTGACCCAAACCTGGAAGGTGGAGGACACCCAATCTGTCTAATCAAGTTGTGCACTTCTTCATGTCTTGTTTCCATGTCATTTGCGGACCTCCACGTTGTGTTGAGGTCAAACAGCTCAAGTTAATTCCCGACAAACAGAAACGGTGAAAGAAGCAAGTGTGTCTCAGGTCCTCCCAGTTTGAATGTAACCTGTTCGGGTAACCGATGCCGATTAATTCACTTCAGCACGACGCCCACACGTGAAGTAAGCTACCTTCAAGTCAGGAGATCAGTGTTTTTATGCGAAAAAATCTGACTAGCAACTGAGAATTGCTTCGTACTGAGTATTCTACCGCACAGTTTTGCGCTTGTGTTGTGTGACCCGGTAATGTAGCTGTGAAAGCCAAATTGGTGTCCACTATATGTTCACTCTCAAGCCAATTCGCTATGATCGAATTGAAATGGTTGTCTCTTTGCTGCATCCGGTGATGTCCCCTGATGCATTCACATAACCAGCTCATCATCCGACCACAGATGCATTCAAATAGGTGGATGAGTACAACTGAAACAAAACCTAACCACACCCCAATTGTGTCCAGTCGTTATTTTCTCATGAACAAACGCAAACAATCGAAAACGTGTTTACTTCTAACAGCATAACTTAAAACTACAAACACGAAGCACCCTCATATTAGTAATAATAATACATGTAAACGCAACAGCAACATTTCACAACGGAGTTTTATTGCTGAAAAAGACTGTTTTATAGGGTTTCATGGTCTACATGTTTGCTTTTGAAAGAACTTAGACACTGGTTAACTCTCAGTAAGGCCGGGAAGCTAAAGAATCCTTCTTCTCTGAAAGCTACATGGAACTGGGCGATTGTATTTTGTACGTACACAAACCAGAATACTATCAAAGAAGACACGGTGTAGCAAAGCCACCGAAAAGATTTTTAACCCTTGTGGAATGGCGAAAGGCAACTTACACCGAACAGTTGTGCAAGACGGGTTTGAGTAGTGGCGTCCACAGCTGCTAAATTCATTACACCTTTAAGCTTTCTCGCTGCGCTCTCCCAATGAGGTTTCAGGTTTTTGCCTGAAAAATAGAAGCAAATAAACAAACAGAATGACTAAAGTACAAATATGGAATTTCAGCTAGTTCATGATGAACAATATTTAAAACGTAACGACAAAAACTTGTCGCACTTCCAAACGTAGATTTACACCTGTATAGTGGAAGTGTTAAAACTCATTGCAGTGTAGCGAGGTATGGAAACAACGTTCAACCCAATCACTTGAGCGGCTGACACTCGTAGAGTCAAAGTAAGCAACGTTCGTTATTGATGCATCGCGCAGGAAGTGACGTCAGGTAATCGGTCCTTCTGATTCTGTGACGTATAGAAATGTGGCAGCAAAGATCAAGTTTACTCCGATAAATTGCGAAGGCATAATTCGCGCATAGCAATCACTTGGAACATGCATGGGTATAATAATCTTTCCCGTTGTACAAGGCTATGGTGGTTCCACTTATGTTGGGCGGGGGTTTGGATGGACGGTGTGTTGACCATAGTGGTTCGCCTTCTTCTCCCTCTCTCAAAGTAGGTCCAATCCCTTGCATTCACCTTGCATTTTTACCACTAATCTTGTATGCATTGCGAGTTTGGCAGGGATCAGTGAAGTTCGCTTTACTGTATTTCGTTGTACAATGATGATTATGGAGTGAAAATTATAATTTTCACTGCATGTTACTGGGACCGGTGCGGGTCTGAACAACCGTAAAATATTCGACATGAGAAGATAAACCCTGTTGGATAGAACATCAAGCTACAGGAATGTAAACATTACATAGAACGAAACATCTAATTTGGAACAACTGGTCAGTACTTTCGTGATCTCCTCTTCATTGGTGATTACCAGCCTGGCGGTCTGTTTGTCTTTTGCAGTAGCAACAGTAAATCCTTTGATTCACTAGCGGATATCGTGGGAATAAAAAAACAACTGCTTCTTGGTGCGCGCACAAAACGTGATCAGTACTTCACAACAGTTGCATACGATTATGATGACAAGTCAGGAAAAGGCAGTGACTGCTCTGAGATCACTACTGGACATAATTGATAAAAATATGAAACATCAGAAAGTAAACAACCTAAATGGTTCCCCACTTACAATGTCCACACCAGGGTGCATAGAATTCCACAAGCCATGGTTCTTTACTGTTCAGAACTTTCTCATCAAATGTGTTGTCTGTTAACTCAATGACAGCACTATCGCCGGAGCTCCCACTACCCTGTAAACAGAGGAAATTAATTATCAGAGCTAGACAGTACATAACAATGTACAGATTAATCGCCTGTGGAAATTCAAAAGAATAAAGGAACACGTTTACATAACTATAAGATAAAGTGAAACAATCGATCTTCTGCGCAACGTTCTTTTGCCCTGAAAACCAAAAACTGAGACAGTTTATATGTAGCGAACTCAGATTGAATCAATGCAAGTAATGCAGCCCCTCCCAACCCTAACCCTTATTAGACTGACGGGTTTGTAATTTCGACGTGCTAGTGTTGAAACTGCTAGTATGATACGAAAGACTGGCTGGGGATTTGTGCTGAAATCAGGAAATGTCCCTCCCCCTCAAATACGTCTCCTGATGTTGCGGAAGTCTCAGTTAGTGCACTTTTACTCAATATAAAAGGATATGGCGTAAAACCCATAAACTGATACCACTGAGAAAACAACGTCAATTTGGTGGCAACGAAATTAAGGATAAGCAGACCGCAATTTCAGTTTTACTACGTACACCCATTAACCATGCGCTCGGCAGCGATCAGTGAAGTTCGCCTCGCAGTATCTCGCTGTACGATGATAATGACGCTAAACATGAGCGTCCGTGTCGCGGTTTCGGTTGCTGTCTTTTGGCTGCCCATTTGAATGAAGCAGCGGGAAAGCTGAAATATAATCAAAGAGAAAATGGAGAACTTCAATTGACTGAGTCTGTAAAAACAATCGAGATGCACGAGCGCCAGTGTCTTCGACACGCAGCCATGTCACTCAGTATCTCTAACCAGTGCTCATAATGATCCTGAGGTTTCCATCCAGAGAGCCGAACGCGACTTACGTGAACAACTCTTCAGCTCAGGGTTTTTAAACCTTCATGCCAGGTCTTATTTTGACCATTCTAGGCTTTTTCCATCCACTACCTGCCTTGATAAGCATCGCGCGTTGTGGCAACCTATTTGGTGACATGCGTAACACATGCCCCAACCAAAGTCATCTATGGAGGTCAACCATTTGCTCCAGTGAGCGACAGCAGTTACCCAAAACTCTGCGCTTAACTTCAGCATAGCTCGTCCGGTTGTCCCACCAGATTCGTGCAATGCTACGTATACGTTAGTGCTTAAACACGGACAATTTATCCTCGTCCTGTTTTCCTAATGCAAAGTTTCTTCGTTTCATGGCAGAACTGGCTGAACTGTCGCACTCACACTTCACGGACAGTCCGATGTCGCGGCGGGGCCACAGACATATCGAATTGGCAAATACCAATCAAGCCTTCTGTATGCGAGCTGACACCTCATCCGTGATTTGTCTTGCCCAAACAGCAAAACTTGTCTAATTGCTCAATTACTTCTCCAGTTAGTGACGCTGAGTGCTGGACCAACCCAGTCTCGCTTCCACGAGGCATGACGCAGGTGGTTTAATAAGATATGCAACTTTGTACTGAATCACGCCAACGGTAGCTTCCAACAATGTGGTCAACTTGCCTGTTGAACTAGGACACCGTGTTGCCGTACGACGAGAAGTGTCGAAAGTTGATGCCAGACGAGAACAGACGATGACCTGCGCAGAATCCAGGTAGGCGATCGCCACTTTTTGTTTACTGAGCACGCACAGCGGAACATCCTCCTAGATAGGCTTTGAATGCGCTGAACGTTTCGACATTCACATTAAAAATCACCCGCTCAAACGAATGAGTTTGGTGAGTTTATTGTTCTTTTGTGATTTGGGACTGCAGCTGGTTGGTACATATGCAGAAATGATAAACAAAACTTTCGATGCTGCTTCTTTTCTGAAAACTAGCTGAATTCTGTAGCCCAATTGTGAGCAAAACTATTTACGGGTACAACGTCTACCAGTATTGTTTAGTAAGATTTATACACCACGCTGACCAAGCGAACGGGCTTCGTCTTATGTGTGAATGAAATATCTGGAGGACGGACCCACACTTCTGAATTGGTGTCTCCGATAGCCAGCACACATCAGCCTCCAGAGAGTTCATTGTAGGTGTAAGACAAGCTTGTTAATCGTCAGATTGAAGGCCTCAGAATTTAGAGATTGATAGTGCTTCAGAATCTGAAAGTGGTTTAGTGGTGAACTACTTAGAGTGCCATTCTGCAACCAGCTTTAGTGAGTTGCTAACATGCGTGATGGAATGTTACGGGTTGGAGGGAGGGTCAAAGGGAGACGGTTGAGTATAGAAGAAAAAGAGCTAAACGAAGGTTAGGATATATGAACAATAACCCATTTATTACTACACACTCCGCGCGGTGCAATATTATTATTCCTAGTTTATACTCACTAAAGCTGCCTTCTGAAACAATTGCTTCAGCAGCGAAACGATAGATCATGACCCCTTTTTGTAGCCCCGTCATTTGGGAGTGAAAGGTATATAATACGCCCGTGATCATAATCGAAATCAAACACAGTGAGGAGCACTTCACTGATCACGGTCAAGCTCATAATGCCCAAGGTCGATGGGGAGCGGGTGTTTTGAAGAAGGGGAGAGAGGTAGCATCCATGATTTACACGCAGTACATAGTTCAACTGTGCAAACACCTTTGGAAGTAGTTGGGTATGATAAGTGACAACCACCATCGTCACCCAACTTTGGTGTAGACAGCTCTGCTGTCTTTCGGTTCAATACCACGCCTAACCTAATGGGGCCTTACGTGGTTCGCCACTCCTAGTCCCGGAGCTTAGGTTACCGTTTTCCACGACGGAGCAGGTCTTCGTGACTATGCGGTTCGCCCCGTCTGTTGTTCACCACACAAATGTATGCAATAAAAAATGCAACTGACTTCAGTTCGCTACCATCTGCTTGTCTCAAACCAACCAGTAGGTGTGCAGTGGACTTCTAGCGACTGTATTAAAAATCATCAATAATCACTCAACGAATTCACTAACTCAAAAAAGATGGCGCCGTTCCTTCCAATAAATTACTTTTGGACAACAGTGAAAAAATATAATTCATAACTTACAGAAGAACCTCCACCCAATCGCTTATGGACTGCCTTCTTGAGATGATCCAAGCCTTCATTGACTATAGCAGATGCATCACGGGATCCTTGAAGACTAGTGGTCAATAAATTCAATCACTTACCTGAATAAACAGCGGGTTGGGTCAAATGAGGACCAAAAACCATAATGGTAGGGAAACCACGAACCGAAAACCGTGATGATAGGGATGAATGTTTGTCCGCATCAACTGCAGCCACTTTGACAACATTCTGAAACGGTATATGGATGAATTCCAGGATCTTACTTTGAGCGCGGTGGCCGCTTTCTTCCATTCAGGTGCTAGCCTTTGGCAATGACCGCACCAAGGGGCAAAGAACTCAACCAACCAAACGCCATCGTCAGATTCTACGCGACTGAACGTTTCTGGAGTTAGTAAAACTACATCATCCCCAGAATCGTACAATCCCAGTACCGGACTGATCAAAAAGAGCCATACTGGAAATAGACAGAGATTTCATAGTATAGAGAATCTTACAAAAACGAAACAAAACAAAACTAGGGGTCTTTTATTCGGAAAGTTTATTATTTGTAACATGGAAGTGTTTTCAGTTTGAACAACCATTGACCATGCACTATCTTGCGTCGGTTTTGTTTGCCCATTTGTATGAACAGTTCATCATCATTATTATCGTACAGCGAATTACAGTGAGGCGAACTTTACTGATTGCTGCCAAACTCGCAATGTATACGAGGTTAGCGGTAGAAGTTAAGGTGGACGAGGATTAGACTTATTTTGAGAGAGGGAGAAGGTGAACCTCGATGGTCAAGGCCTACTCAAGGATCTGACGCAAAGTAAAAATTTGATTAACACATCCACGGCCAGGCCGGAATCCGGCTTGCTGTTCACGGATGTTGGTCTCTCTTAAAGGCGTCAGACATCGAATTATGACCAAAGCTAGTTGAAGAAAGACGGGAAGGTTAGAAGTGGAATCAAAGAGAGAATTTGTAATTTCAGTGGACTAATGTTGCAAAGAAATTGAGATGCACGAACGCCACTCAGCCGTACCACTGTCTCTAACCATCGATTACGATCGTCCCGAGGCCCCCAACCAGGGAGCCTAACAGGACTTATGTGACCCAATCTCCTGGTTAGGGTTTTCATACCCTCGTGCCAGGTCTTAGCTTGACCAACCTTGGCTTTTTTCCACTCGGTGTCTGCTTCGGCGAACATCGCTCGCCGTGGTAACCTATCTGGTGACATGCGTAACACATGTTTCAACAAGCGTAATCTATGGAGGTCGACCACTTGCTCCAGTGAGCCACCGCGGTTACTCGCGCCTAACCTTAGCATTGCTCGTCCGGCTGCCTCACCAGATTCGTGCAGTGCTGCGTAGACAGAGGTGTTCAAATACCGACAGCCTATCTTTATCCCGTTTTCTTATTGGCCACATTTTTGCTCCGTATGGCATGAAAGTGACTTGGACACAACCAAGGGCTGATAGATGAAGTGAAAAACTTGACCGATACGCTTGTACATTTAGGTTGTCTCCAGTTGGTGACCTTGAAGTCAGTTTAATTGATAGTTTAAACTTGTGCCGAAAACGGTGCTTATTTCCACATTTTATTTACTCTCAATCTGTACCCTCATTCTGGCACTCAGTTTTTCCTCGACTGTACTTATTGATTCAGTATTTCACCGGATCGATATATGACAACAAACGAAACAGGTGCGTAGGGGATTCCAGTGACTTCTTACACAAGGTAACCCGGATCAAACGATGCAGCTTATCGAAGTTGCTGAAGCCATACTATCAGCGACCCGTTGTTGTAAAATTCGGCCGAGCAAAGAGCGAGTGATAAGATAATTCGTAAAACAGGTCTCAAACGCTTCTGCATTGTTAGAGGGTGGATATGGAAATCCGGTGTTTTCTCCATTGATAAAACAAACTGTCAGTCTCCAATTTTACTAACATGAGACGTTTTCAGACATTCCAACTGTGTATGGGTTGTGGCGTTCGACAGATCAAGGACTGCTCCTGATTTTTTCAGTACTTTAGTGTTATTTGTTATTGGACGACACTAGCTGTAACGAGAATGGGTTTTATAAAGGGGATAGGCAGGAATGTGACCAATGATCCATAGTTTTAAAGACAATGCTTAAGGTCTACAAACAACCACCCTGTAAACTTAGTTTACCACGGTTGATTTTTCCAACATAACACCGAACACGAGAGTTTATAGAAAACTGCTAGATAACTCTCCCGTGCCATCCATCTTTTTTCTAGAGGACGCACCTTAAGCGTTTCCATTTCAATTCGTTAACAATTTACTGTACATGAAAAACAGCGCCCAGTATGGGAGATCGGCACTTTGAGACTGATACGGACCACGACATTCCGCGTGGAATTAGGAACGGAATAAGGAAATTAGGCAATCGTATCCCTGACCACGGTTAAAACCATTTCACTTTCAACTCCCTATATTATCGCTTAACATCTCAAATTATACATTCAAGTGCTTCGAGGTATTTTAAATCGATTTCTAACTGCAATCCTCCAAATTCGATGCAAATCTGTATTAATAAGAACCGAAATCGATTACAAGTTACATGACGAGACTGCACCCTGACGTGGTGTGATGGCAATTGCACCTCTCTGACCCAACGAGCCATACGGGATAGCTTTTGTCAAGCCGCAGATCTCATCATGCCTGGAAGGCCTGGGAGGTCAGACGAAGTCCAGTTTCTTGGTCCTCCACGTTGGGGGTTCGACTCGAGTTAGCATCTCAGTCGGTAAAATGGTAAGGGAGTAATTGATCCAAGTAGATGGGCCTCTAATTCGCTTTACTCGCTGTCTTACGGCCAGGTTCTTGTCAGAACTGAAGGCTTTGGACGAGAACCCTAATCGTTCTCTTCCTTAGTGGCTGGACACCTTGGCAGTACCCGTCCATCAAAATCAAGTGCATACACAACCACAAAATAATTCCATACTGTATCGAGCAGGGTGGGTAGTGATAAGTGGGCTACTGCTCCGATATCCCTTTTGTTTAACTTTGTCTTCCGTACCCAACTCTATCCCTTTACCCCTTCTTCCGACTTGTAACATTTCCTCAGACAACTTGTTCGTCACTTGCCAAAGTTCGTTGCCAAGCAGCCCGGTAAGTAGTTTACCACAAAATAAATTGTAGATTCTGAAGCCTCATCAGCCACTGAATCTGGGGGCCTTCAACGTGAAGACTCTGATGCAGGTAGGTCAACAAGCGTGTCTGGCGCGTACAACGGTTCAGTTCAGTTCAGTTTGAACAACCATTAACCATGCACTTTCATGTGCCGGTTTTGGTTGCTGTCTTCTGGCTGACCATTGGGATGAAGAATAGGAGAAGAAAGGAAAGTTGAAAGTGGAATCGAACAGAAAATGGAGACGTTCAGTGGTCTAAGGTTGGAAAGAAATTGAGGAGATGCACGAACGCCAC